AGCAGAGCCCTGCGCAGAGTGAGGGGTGACACTGCCAGCGCAGCAAGTTCCTTGGACTGAAGTGTGACAGAGCTGGCTGGAGCCACCTGCTCCATGGGGGAGTGATTCGTGTGACCCAGGAGTTGCACATCTGGAAGTGAGGAGACCCCAGGAAGCCACTGGGTCCATCTGCATCTCCCCCCGATGAGCCCGGATAACTAGGTGCCGCGGGGGCCCCCGCGCCTGGCGGTGTCAGAACGGCAGCGGGGTTGATCGATGCCTTACTCACCACAGAGGCCACGCAAATGGCAAATCCCTGCGTTGCGAAGGCTGCTGGTGAGGCTGGAGACAGCCACGCCGCCCTCCCCCGGGACTTTCTTAGAGTCAATGGAGTTTATTACTTTAACGTATTTCCTCTCTCTGTCTGAAGAGCATCTTTTTGGCAGTGCTGCCTTGCAAACGAGGAGCCAGCTCCTGGCAGGGGTAGGGTCTCAGCAACGGGCTTTGCTTGCCCAGCTGTGGGAGAGGAAGCCCCTGGTACTTGCTCAGCTTGCCCACCAGCCTCTCTGCTGACAGAGGACGAGAGAGTGAAGGTGGATAAGGGCAGGCGGCTTCTCCGAGCTGAGCTCCAAGGGGAGAGCAGTGGCAGGATTTCATTAGCCTGCCTCTTAAGGCAGTGAAGTCTCCATCCCCTCCCACGCTCCATCCCCAGCCCGACCCCGTCCGACGCAGGAGTGGTGGGACCTCAGCCTTCGTCTGGAGCTTCTTGACAAACCGTAAGTCCTTCTTAGGGAGGAAGATCCATTTTTCCCCGTGGATATTTTATGGTCACCTCATCAGCCCCTCTGCACGGCTGGTGGAATTGGAGTTGGGATTGATTTTTAGGGCTGGCTTTGGGGATCTATCCTGCTCTGCTTCAGGAGCAGGGAGAGGCAACAGCCCTGCTAAGATCCCCTCAACAATAGGGTGAAGGGGCCAAGGTGGGCTGGGCACCTGCCAGGGTTGTTTGTGGATGGGAAATGGGGCAAGGAGTGCTTGGGAACCCTGGAGGGAGGTTTGGAGGAGATTTTGGGTGGTTTCCCAAAGGAAATGTGGCTGTGGCAGGATGGTGGTGAGGGTGCAGAGCCATGGTGATCAGCATCACCCTGACACCCTGGCACCAATGGGGAGTGGGGGCAGAGAGAGAGTGGGGGCAGCAGAAGCATTGGGAAAGCATCCCACAAACCTCCCCATCTCTCTGCAGCCATGAATCCGTACGTCAACTGCTCTGGCCCCGAGTTCCTCCTGCCCCAGCGAGACTTTCCCGTGGAGCCCATCAGCCCTGATCTCTGCAACAGGACTCACCCAGAGACCTTGTTGGACCCCAAGGATGCCAACCTGACAGAGGAGCAGCTGCGGGATAAGTACCTGGGACCTCGGCGGTCCAGCTTCTTTGTCCCTGTCTGTGTCATCTACCTCCTGATCTTTGTGGTGGGGGCTGTGGGCAACACGCTCACCTGCATCGTCATCCTCCGGCACCGGTTCATGAGGACGCCTACCAACTACTACTTGTTCAGCCTGGCTGTGTCTGACCTGCTGGTGCTGCTGCTGGGGATGCCGCTGGAGCTGTACGACATGTGGAGCAACTACCCCTTCCTGCTGGGCGCCAGCGGCTGCTATTTCAAGACGCTGCTCTTTGAGGCCGTCTGCTTCGCCTCCATCCTCAATGTCACGGCCCTGAGCGTGGAGCGCTACATTGCTGTGGTGCACCCCCTCAAGGCCAAGTACGTGGTGACCAGGAACCATGCCAAGAGGGTCATTGTCATCATCTGGGTCTTGTCGGTCATCTGCTCCATCCCCAACACCAGCCTCCATGGGCTGCAGCCTCTCTACGTGCCTGGCCGGGGGCGGGTGCCTGATTCGGAGATCTGTACCCTGGTGAAGCCACGCTTGACCTACAACCTCATCATCCAGATCACCACCATTGTCTTCTTCTTCCTGCCCATGGGGACCATCAGCATTCTCTACCTGCTCATTGGCCTGCAGCTCAAGAAAGAAAAGATGCTGGAGGCCTTGGGAGCCAAGTCTGGCGGCCGCGACTGCCACAATGTCAAAGGGCAGAAGAAAGTCAAGAGGAGGCAGGTCACGAAGATGCTGTGTGAGTCTCATGCTGGGGAGTCTGATGCTGGCAATGGGCAGAGCCAGGGGGTATCTCTTAAGGTTGTGTTGGGAGGGTGCTGGGGGGAAACTGAGGCACGGCCAGTCCGGAGGACTGAGGCTGGGTCATCCTGGAGGGAGGCTGCGGGGCTTGCTTGTGGGGTGTTGGGGCAGAGGCAGATTTGGTGGCTCCAGTCCAGCGATGAGGATTGCTTGTACCAGCTCCCTAAGGGAAGTGCTGGGTGAGAAAAGGAAAAGAGGTAGTCTGGGATGGGGGAACTCGTTCCCTGTCCCCCAGTGCAGACCTCACATGCTGGTGGTGGTGGGATTTCCCAGAGGGGGACCATTCCTACCCAGCCCCACAGCCTCTGCGACCGTCCTGGGGCAATGATGCACTGACCCAAGCTGGAGCGTCCCTCCGTCCCACCGCTCTGCGCTCTTGCTCTCCTCCCCAGTGCCATCCCCGCAGCCTCTGGCCCCCTTCCCAGCAGCAGGAGCTGGCTGCCCTTGGGTAGCCCTCTCGCCCCAGCATGCTGAACCCCCCATGCTCCCG